TTTTCACCGCCTGGCACCAGGGGGCTGCGGGTCACACAGGCCAGGAGCCCGGGTGGGGATACAGATCCACCATCTCAAGCATCTGTGGGCCTTGAAGTTCATGTGGGCGTGTGTGGCGGGATAGGAGACTAAACCTAGGGAGCAGCCTCGTTTAAGGGATGGAGGGGGACGGGAACCCCCGGAGGGGACCCAGGGAAGGGGAGGGTCTGGAAAGGTGCAGAGAAAGAGTGGGCATCTCTGTCAAAGACCGCAGCAGCGCAACGGGCTGAGGGATTACTGGGCTGTCGGCCTGGAGGAGGGCAGGTTAGCTCCGAGGGAGAGGCTGCACTGGCGTGGTGGGGACAGAAGCTGGCCCCGTGTGGGTGTAGGGGCGGTAGGGGAAGAGGGCTGCAGTCCATCTTTCGAGAAACCTACTGGGTAGGGATGGCGGGGAATGAAGGAGAGCCACGGGGGGTCCGGCCCAGAGGGAGGCGCAGGCAGAGACCTTTGGCTTCCTCGCACAACCAGGAGGAGGATGACAACTGATCTAAAATTGATAAACAACCAGAAGCACCAGAAAATCAAACTGCATGGAACTCCGACAACCAAGGAATTAAAGAAAAAAGTCAACCAGAACAACCGGACTGGTGCGCCAAGACAAAGAAGTATGGCCCCCATGAAAGAACACAGCAAAACCTCAGAACTAAGCGAGGAGGAGATTGCCGACCTATCTGACGGAGAATTTACAGCCCTGGTGATCAAATGCTCACAGAGCTGATGGAGCTTGGTCGAAAAATGAAAGAACAAATGAAAGATACCCACAATGAAATAAAGCAAAATATTCAGGGAACCAACCGTGACAAGAAGGAAAGCAGGACTCAAAGTAACGGTTTGGAGCAAAAGGGAGAAATAAATATCTAACAGGATCAGAATGAAGAAACAAGAATCCAAAAAAATGAGGAGAGGCTGCGGATCCTCTGGGACAACCTGGAATGTTCCAACATCCGAATTATAGGGGCGCCGGAAGGAAAAGAGCAGCAGGAAATTGAAACCTTATTTGAACAAATAATGAAGGAAAACTTCCCCAATCTGGCAAAGGACATAGACTTCCAGGAAGTCCAGGAAGCCCAGAGAGTCCCAAAGAAGTTGGACCCAAAGAGGAACACACCAAGGCACATCATCATTAAGTTACCCAAGATTAAAGACAAAGAGAAAATCCCAAAAGCAGCCAGAGAAAAGGAGACAGGTACCTACAAAGGAGTTCCCATAAGGCTATCAGCTGATTTCTCAAAAGAAATCTTGCAGGCAAGAAGGGGCTGGAAAGAAGTATTTGAAGTCATAAAAGACAAGGACCTACATTCAAAATTACTCTATCCAGCAAAGCTATCATTTAGAGTGGAAGGACAGATAAAGTGCTTCCCAGATAAGGTCAAGTTAAAGGAGTTCATCATCACCGAGTCCTTATTATATGAAACGTTAAAGGGACTTATCTAAGAAGAAGAAGATAAAACATATGAACAATAAAGTGACAACAAACTCAAAACTATCAACAAGTGAACCTAAAAAAAATAAAAGAAAAACAACGAAAACAAAAACTAAGCAAATAGCTTGAACAGGAACAGAATCAGAGAAATGGACATTACACTGAGGGAGGGCGGGGGAAGGGAGGAATGGGGGGGAAGAGACAGAGAAGGTACAGCATAATTAGTAGGCGTAAAATAGACGGGAGAGATAAAAAATGGTACAGGAAACAGAGGACTCAAAGAACTTATATGTACAACCCATGGACATGAACTAAGGGGGGGGATGCTGGAGGGTTGGGGGCCAGGATGGAGGGGGGATAAAGGGAGGAAAAATTGGGAAAACTGCAATAGCATAATCAATACAAATACTTAGAGCAAAACAAAAAGATTGTGATTGCAAAGGGTATTTCTGCAGAAGAATGGCTATGTTTCATTTTACCGTACAAAAAATAATTTTGTCTTAAAGTAAAACATACCTGGCTGCGTCAGAATAAAAATGGTACTAATAGACAAGAGAAATAGGAGAGGCGCGGGCAAATGGTCACGGTCGAGCGGAAGGAGCTGCTCTGAGCAGAGAGCTTGCTGGGCTGGCGCTGCCCGGGACCGCGCCTGCCGGGGTTTGCCCTGCGCCCACGAGAGTGGCCCCTGCTCACCACACACACACACATGGGTGCACACACACACACGTGTGCACACACAAACAGCCCTGGGGAAGGGTGGCAACGGCACAACCCGCAGCTGAGAAGGAGGCCCGGGCCCTCCGCTGCGCACTTCGCTCCTCTCGCCAGCTTGCTCCTTCCGCCAGGGACGCGGTGCCTTCTTGGCATCACGTCCCCCCCCCCCCCCGTTTTCCCCACTCGGCCTCTGACCTCTGACGTCCTCCCTCCCTCTGCTTGGCCCTGGGCCCCCCTCGCTCCCTTTCTGCACTAAGCCTGCCAGCCGGAGGGGAACGCTGACCTGGCCGGCATGGCTGACACCCTCCCCTTCGCAGGCGCAGGGAGCTCTCCGTTCGGGAGAGAAACTGGACCCACTAATTGTGAGCTCGGGGGGTGTTCGCCTCACTGAGTTACTGGGTGCAGACGCCCTAAAGCTCCCCAGAGTCTCCTCTGGGATTTCCACGGAGTCACCGTCTACCCCTCACCTTCCTCTGGCTAAACCGGCCTGTCCTCGAGCGCGGCGTTTGGGAGAGAGAAGAGGCTCCCAGTGAGGGTTCTTGGTTCCGTCCGCAGCAGGGCCTCTTGCCCCCATCCTTCCGGCCGCTGCGCGGGACAGTCCCGCCGGCAAGGGCGGGGGGTGGGGGGGGCATGGGAGGTGGGGGATGGGTGCCGAGAAACCGCTGTGGGCTGGCACCGCCTGGTGGAAGGGTCTCTGTGGGAGGTGGGCGGTCTGTCCCCGAAGCCTGGGAGCGCCCCTAGGCACTGCCTTCTCCTGCCCTAGCAGGGGTGGGGGTGGAGGGAGTGAGGGTCAGGAGAGTGGGCCTGCCGACTTCCCCTGTCGTTTGCCGGGCTCTGCCAGAGTTGCGGGGACTGTGCAGGCTCATCACTGTGAAGGCCACTTCCCAGCAGGATTTTGTGTTAAGGCAGACGGGCCCATCTTCTTCTTTTATTAAAAAGTGCCAATAGGTCACCAACCAGCAACGTACCAGGCGTTGTGCTAAGCGCTTGCCCCTGTATCACCGCACTCAGATCTCCAAGGCAGGCAGAGATCCTTTCAAAGTGCAGATCACATCCTGCCCCACCCCTGCCTCCAGCTGGAGAACTAGGCCCGCCTCCCCCATCCCGCCAGGCTGACGGGGCAAGACCCCCACCCCGCCCCCCATCCCCGCCTGCCCCTCCCCTGCTCGCCACGCCCTGTTGCTCCTGGCGCTGCCCCTGCCACAGGGCCTTTGCACGGGTTCTTCTCCCAGGCTCCGCCCGGCTCACGCCCTCGCTTTGTCAGGCCTTTGCCACTGTCTCCTCAGACAGGTCTCCCCCCATGTGAAATGTCACCCATCATCACGCTCTGTGTCTTCCCTGCCTTCGTCTCCAACAGCGCCCAGCACACCTCGAATCAAAGCTGCACGAAGGCGGGGCCTGGTTTTGCTCACAGCTCCACTTGCGGGACCAGGGAGGTGCCTCCCATGGAACCGCCACCACGAAATAGTGAATGAATGAGTATGAGGGTGGGTGCTCACAACACCTCGTGCTGTCGGTGCCAGGATTCCACCCAGGTCACAGATGAGGAAACTGAGGCCGAGCAGGGTTGACCCTGTCCTTAGGGTCATGGAACCAAAGAGCCAGGTGGGATCGGAAGGCACGGCGCCTGCCTGTGGGTCTGCCTCTCTCTGCACTCGAAGCCGAGTCCCCACGTGAGAGCCCTCTTCCCCAGGCGCTCGAGACAAACGCATTTTGTGGCTGAACCCACGTGGCAGATGCGGCAAACTGGGTTTCTCCACTTGCTGTTTCCAATGCTTGTTGCACCTGAAAGGCCCTGAAAAGTCCTGCGGGAAAAACCTCGGTTGGGCTCGGGGAATCAGTGTGTCCAGAAGCTCTGACCGCGGGTGTTTGTTTACTTATCGGCGTGGGTAGCGCCTGTGAACATGTCACAGGAGTGGCCTCCGGAAATCACGGCGTGTGTCCTTGTGGAGAGGAGGCAGGTGAAGGGTCCTGGGACCTCTCTGGGTCGTCCTGTGGGGAGGGTCCCGGCCAGGGGCCCAGAGTCAGGCCCCGCCGTGTTTGCTTGCCCACCCCCTGCCCGCCCCAGACACAGGGAGGCAGCAGCGTGGCTCCTGGCACCTTCTGGCCACAGCCCGGCGCTGACCTGCGGGCTGGCTCACCTTCCGCCCTTTGGTTTCTGGACCCAGGGACACTGGTGTTTGTCCCGAGTCTGTTAGAGGGCAATTCTTCCCATGCATGCTGCCCCAACCACTCGTCCTTGTTTCTCACTGTCTCCTGTCTCCTCACCGGCACTGGAACCTTCTAGAAGGGCACTGCCTTACCTATGTGTGTCCCCCCCAGCGGCCTGCACTCTGCTGAGCCGGCCTTAGCTGCCCAGACAGTTCCCGGTGGCTCCGGTGTGGACATGGGGGACTGACGATCCTGTTTGCTGCATGGTTTGGTGGGGCAAGGATGGATGGCGAGGCTGCAACCCCCTTCATTCTCGACCAGAGTCCCTCCTCAGCCCCGGCAGACAGGGGTGCCCCGGAGGCGGAGGGGCCAGCAGCGGCGGGGTGTCCGTGACGGCCTGGTTCAGCGGGATTTGGGAGGCACAGAGCACAGGCCCCGGCGCATCCATTTGTCTTGGTGTGGATGGTGATTTGATGTCATTAGGGATTCAGGTCTCATCTCCGCGTCTGAGATCATCTGGGGATGGGAAAGGGAGGAGAGGAGGCAGGCGTCCACAGGCAGCCCGGATCCGACCGGATAAATCTGGGAGGGGAGGTGCCCAGAGCCTGGCCCTGCTGGTGGGAGGACGAGGCTGAGCCGCAGAGAGCCAGAGGTGGCGGAGTGGAAGGTCACCATGAGAGGGGCCACGCGGGTCTCGGTCCTGCTGCTGCTGGTGGCGGTGTCCGACTGTGCCGTGATCACCGGGGTGAGTCGGCTGGCGTTTCCCGGGGTTCTGGAGGGCATCGGGGTCGCCGGGGGAATGAGCCGGGAACCGCCGGGGGCCAATGGAGGGGAAGGGGGCTGAGCCGTCCCCCGCCCGCGTTCCCGCGGCTCACACGCGTTCCCCATTACTCAGGCCCGGCCCTGCTGAGCGCGTGTGCTTGGCAGAAGCCGCGTGGAAATCAAACCCTGTGTTCTGTGTACTCGGAGAGCGATGAAAACTCTGTCGTCTGGGCCTTTGGTGACTGGAAGATCCCTGTTTGGTGTAATACACCCTTAGAAAATGGATCAGCGTCTTTTAATTTGTCTTTTGTGCAAATCTGGGTTTTTGCATACAGCCGGGGCCGTGTGTCAAGTTCAACTCCTCCGGCGGCGCGTTGGCCTCGCTGAAGGCAGGGACCTTGTTAGCGTCTGCTGGGCACCGTCAGCCTCTGCTTTCCCTGCTCTCACCGAGGCTGTCCTGAAACTGTCCCCCCCTCCCTCCCTGCACACGTGTCCTCACTCTGTGCCCAGTTCCGGCGGGAACAGGGGCGGCTCCACAGTGGGCCGAGCGCGCCCAGAAGCAAGCGTGGGGCCCCCCGGAGCACACGGCCCCACACACGTTAGTGCCCCAGACACGCTGGTGGCGAGTCTCTCCCAGAGCGTGGTTTTCCTTGGGGCTGCCCTCGGAGGGGCGCGCGCTGTGTCACGACGGCGGGACGCTCTTGGTCCAAAAGAAAGCGACAGTTGGCCCGAGAGCGTTGCAGGTGAAAGCCACTAGGATGGGAAGGGAAATTCACTGGCGTTTCCACCTTCTCCCACGTTCCCCCTGGAGAGTGACACTGCAGGGGAGTGCCCGAGGGCTCCTGGAATCAGGCCGGTTTCCCTGGTGAGAGGAAGGAGAGCCCCTGTCTTCTCCTGGTTAAAGGACAGAGGCTGAGTTTCAAAGGGCAGACGTGAAAGGCCAGTGGATGCTTTGGAGACCCAGAGCGGAGATAAAATTGCTCGTGCAGAATCTTTCCTAGCGAAGCAAACCCCGCAGCCTGGCCTCCTGCTGGGCTTCGCAGACCAGGAGGGGAGTCAGAGGGGAGGAGCCGGGTCCCCCTGCCGAGGGGGTGGGGGCCGAGGGTTGACCCCATGCCCAGGTCACCTCACACTGTGAGCCCAGAGCGGAGGCAGGAGGCAGGTGCGAGAGAGGCAGGAAGTGCCTTCCTTTGATTCCTTTGAGTCACCGCTTTGAGAAGCACCGTGAGAGAGAAACCAGGTGAAGAGGACATTGGTGACAGAGGTGACATGGGAGCAGAGGGCAGAGCCTGTGCTGAAGGCAGGACCTCCCCCGCCAACTCCCCCAGCCCCACCTAGTCTGACTCTCGGTGAGGAGCTGGTTTCCAGCATCCACACTCCTCTGCTTCCCAGACCAACCCCATCCCAAATTCAGGCCTGGGTGGCCCTTCCCCCCTGGAGGGACAGCGACTCCCCGCCTCTGGGGGGAGGGTCGGGTGGGGTCTACTTGGCCCTGATCCTGAGCTCTCAGGGGCCCTCTGGTGTGTGAGACATTCGCTCACTGGCCCGGGGACCAGCACGGCCAGGAGATGGCCACCTGCAGCTCCTCGGGGCGACAAGCTGTGCACACCCCCCACACCACTCCCGGGGCTGAGCAGGTGGGCAGTGCCCAGGTCCTGCCACCTGCTTCAGGCAGCAGCGGGTGCCCCGAGGCCTGTAGTTGTGGGTGGGGGGGGGGAGCAAACTCACACCCAGCTCTGCACACAGCCACACAAAGCTGCAGAGCTCTGGAGGCAGAGGGGTCGAGGGGTCCCGTGCTTCTCTGTCGTGGCCCTGCTGAGTCAGGGGCTGTTCTGTTTAAAGGGGGCTCACGGGGCCTTCTTCACAAATGGCCCCTTCCAGGCACTGGCAGGGCCACTCAGCCCCTTCCTGGGGGCCTTGCCCGGAGGGGTTCACTCCTGTCGAGGGGGGAGGCAGCTGCTCCGGGGGGAGCCTTAGGTGGAGCCGGGCTTCCTGTGAGAGAGTGGGGCACCAACGTGGGGAGGGCAGGCACCCACTGGGTGCTGCTGGGTCCAGGGAAACTCAGCACCAACCCCCTGGGAACCCAGGCCCTCAGGGCCTCTCCCCTGCCCCACGAACGTGAGCTAATTCAATCCCAGCAGTATGGACTGTGCCCGAGAAGCCGTCTCCTAACCTCTGGACTTGTGCGAAGGGGAGGACTCTCCCTGCTGAGTGGCCTGGAAGGAGCTTTTGGACGGGTGGGGGGTAGGGGGGGGGTCCTCAGATCCAGGTTTGAGGCCCCGCCGAGTCTCCCGCTGCAAGGGGATCCGGGGCAATAATGCAAGGTCCCAGGTGTCCTGTGGGGCTTGGGGGGTGGGTGCCGCTCTCGGCGCCTCCCCCCAGTAGTATTTGGATGTTCTTTTTTGCTCTGGTTTTTCTTGGGTGACCTGAACCGCCCCTTTGTCGCCCCCTGCAGGCCTGTGAGCACGATGTCCAGTGTGGAGCGGGCACCTGCTGCGCCGTCAGCCTGTGGCTCCGGGGCCTGCGGATGTGCACCCCGCTGGGCCGGGAAGGAGAGGAGTGCCACCCAGGGAGCCGCAAGGTGCTGCAGGGGCCTGCTGGGGCCTGCTGGGGCCGCGGTCAGGGAGACAGAGTGGGGCTGGAGCCCCTCTTCCCACCGAGTGCTTTAGCTTTCTCAAGCCTCTTTATAACCTTAGGTGGAAGGCTCTGTTATTAACCCGTTTTACAGAGAAATAAGTTGAGGCACAGAGAGGCTAAATACTGTGTCACTTGTCACACAGCCGGTAAGTGGCAGGGCTGGGATTTGAACCCAGGCCGTTGGACACTAGCTATGCTCTTCACCGCTCCTATTGAATCCCCTTGGTGGCCGAGCATTCCTCTCTGGCTGTGGGTCCCAGCGCAGAGACAGCGTGGGTCCTGTCCAGCTGCCCCCCAGCCCCAGTGCAGTGTCCCACACACAGTGGACGAATCACAAGTGACGTACAATCCAGGAAGGCGTGTGTGAGTGTGTGCACGTGTGTGTGTGCACATGTGTGTGCCAGGGCCAGCGGGAGCAGGCAGTGTTGGGGGCTGTGGGGTTGTAGGGTTGGGGGGTGAGCAGCATTGTGCTGTGGCTGATCTTATAGTCTCGGGTTCAAATCCTGGCTCCTCCAAAAATTAGCTGTGTCATCTTGGCACGCTGCCTGGCCACTCTGTGCCTCAGTTTGCCCCTCTGTCGTGGCTGTCCCTTTGGGCTGGGGTGGGGGTGATGAGATGGCGGTCAGGGCTGGTGCCCGTGTCCCTTTGGTGAGGGCACCCCTCCCTCTCCACAGATCCCCTTCTTCAGGAAGCGCCAGCACCACACCTGCCCCTGCCTGCCCAACCTGCTGTGCTCGCGGTACCTGGGCGGCAGGTACCGCTGCTCCGCGGACTTGAAGAACATCAACTTTTGAGCCCGTCTAGCCTCAGGATGCCCACCAGCCTTCTTGCTGATGCAGCCAGGATAGTCTCTTTCGTACTTTTGCTTTATTTCTGCCACGTGGCCCGTCCCCGCTGCCCCCAGCTGCCCGCATTGCCACTCCCATCACCGCTTACCTCGATCCCTCCCGCCCGGCACGGACTCGCCCAGGGACCTGGTTCCCTGCGCTGGCCCGAGGGTGTCCCAGCCCTGGCTGTGGCCCTGGAGGTGGCCTGGCTGGTTCTCCCTTCTCTGTTGCTCAGGCTGCCAGAGGGGCTTAAGGAACAGGAAGGGGCTCCCTCCCGCGTCCTTGCCCCCCCTGCCCTCTGCTCCTCTCAGAGCTGACACGTCCTCTGGGTCTTGCTCCTCTCCTCCTCACACGTGCTCTCCCGCCCGAGCCCCGTCCCAGCACAGGCCTGGGGTGCCCGCTGGTCCTGGCTGGAGCCTCATCCGGCTGGTCCTGAAGCCTGTGGGGGTCGCCCTGCGGTCACCTTCCTTTGACCGCCTGGCTCCGCAGTTTTGGGTCACAGGCCCGAGGTCAGCCCTGCCCGGAGGGGATTGGATGGTGACCTCGGTGACCTCGAGGCGGGTGTGAGGAGCCAGGGAGGTTGGCCCCCTGCCCCTGGGTCAGAGTCCCAGGGCCTCCCAGGTCTCTGTGCACACACTTTGCCGGTGAACAGGGACGCCCTCAATTCCCAGGGCCCCCCAAGAGGCAATGGTGGGTTTTAATCTAATCCACATTTTAGGAGGTAATTAGGGAGTTGCTTTAAACAGCCCCTTTCCAAGGCTCAGCCCCTGGGAGCAGGTCTGGGAGAAGGGAGCGGAGAGGGGCAGCTGCCAGCAGGGCCCCGTGGCCAGGGGAGGTGTCCGGGGAAGGTGTCCAGCTCTGGGAAGCAAGGGCATCTGAAGTCCGCAGCTGTCTGTCCGGGAGCTGTGTCACCCCCAGCCCCACTGAGCACCTCCCATCCGGACCCGGCTCCCTGGGGACAGGGCGGTGACGCCACATGCTGTGCGCCCTGGCCTGCTGGGCGCAGAATAAAAGTGTGAACAAGGGGTGTGTGGCTGTGGTGTCCCTGCTGTGCCCGAGCGGGGCCTTGGGGGCAGGCTGGGTTGTGTCCAGGCGGGGGACAGGTGCCACCTGGGCCTCCTCCCAGCTAGGACGGTTTCTTGGAGAAAGTGGATGTGTCGCTATAAAAAGAATCTACTGATAAGTAGAATATTTCCATAGTAAGGATGCATCTTAGAAGAATTAAGTTAGGATTGGGTAAAATGGACACCCCTCAAGATGCAGGTCTTTTAGGACTGGGCCTCCCCATTCACCCCAATCCTTTGTCTCCAATTGCTGGAGTCTGGTGCCATCTAGTGGCTAAAGTGGGGATGGCACAGAAAAGCTGCACGGAAAAAAAGGAAGCTTCAGAAGGACGTCGCCTTCTCAAAGCAGATGGGGACCAGGCCCCGATAACCCCAAGAGTTAGACTCATTCAGAGGTTTAGAGGGGCAATGTGTCCACCTGTGGGAAGAGGACCGCCATTCTAAGGAGCGCAGGAGAAAGGCTTAATTGCCCCTTTGGGTCCTGCCCCAGCCTGGGTACTTCTTGGAAGCCACTGTCACCTTCCCTCGAGACACCTGTCACCCCCTGCCCAGGATCAGGAAAGTGTGAGGTGGGCGGGGTCAGACAAGGACGTTTGGGTGTCCCTCCCCATCTATCTGTGTGCTGGTCCTGTGTTAGAGTTTCCAACCAACTTACCCCCGCCGCCGAGTATCCAAGTTCAAGGTCAGCCTAGATTTTAATTTCTCCCACTATCCCTTCTTCCCGAGCTCCACGCAACGGCATGTTCCTTAGGCACAGAAAGTGGGACCAAGCACCTGGAGAACACTATGCTGAAGAGCCAAACCCCCAAGACCACATCCTGTCTGATTCGTTTTGCGTGAAAGGTCCACAGTAGGCAGACCCGTGGAGACAGAAAGCAGCTTGGCTGTTGCCAGGGCGGGAACACGGACCAGTATGGGATGGGGGGCGGGGCCTCTCTCTAGGGCGGCAGCCGAGCTCTAAAACCGTGTCTAACTCCTAAAGACGGCGGGGTCACACGTGTTAAGTGGGTGACTTGGGACACAATGCAAACTATGTCATAATAAAGCTATTTAGAGGAATGAACATGAAAACCCACACACTGGAAAACATGCTCCCCAGGGTCAGCTGGCCGGGTGAGGCCAGTGCCCGCAGGCTGGAGGGAAGGCGGCCTGAGGCCGGGCCCTGCCTCAGGGCCGGACAGAGCGCCCGTCTGTACTGGAACCAGGGCTCGGCTCCGGCGGTTTGGGGCTGCCAGGCACCCGAAGGGGGGCGGTCTCCAGTCTGGGCACCACAGGGCGGAGGCATTGCGGGCTGGCGAAGGGCTGGGGTCCCCTCTCCTTCACCCGACCCTGACTCGGTGGGGTGGGGAGAGGGATGGGACACAGACGGCGTTTGCCCTGAGCGGTCTTCTCCACCAGCCAACGTGAATGGCACCTTACTTAACCCATTTCCGTTTATTGTGACGGCATCTTAAAATGTGTGTCGGCTGGCCTGGCCGGGGGGAGGGGTTCAGTTTGTGGGAGTACACTGAAAGGTCTTGGGGTTCCACCCCAGTCGGGGTGTGTATGGGAGGCAACAGATCTATGTTTTTTTGTTTCTTCCTCTCTCTCTAAAAAAAAAAAAATCAATGCAAACACATTCTTGGGTGAGGATTAAAAAAGAAAATCGGGCAGCTGGCTGCACTCAGAGCCCGTGGAGCTGCACCTGCGGCCTCAAGGGTCTGTGCGGGAGGCAGGCTGTCTCCTGCAAGGACGCTTTTAATTTTTCCTTGGGGGGAGCAGTGCCCACGCTGGCGGGGGCGGAGAAGACCCTGTGGTGGCCGCCGAGGGCTGTGTGGGTCTCTTTCAGACCTGTGCCCTGAACTGACGACCCTGGGGAGGAATAAAGTTGCATGACGCACCAGCCCCTCCGTGTTCCAACCGCCTCAGCCCCCGAGGCTCCTGTCGACCTTGACAAGCTGCTACTGACGCCTTCCACTCACAGTTTATAAAGAAGGGGCCCCAGGGGAGCCTGCGGCCAGCCACAAGCCCGAGAGAACCGTGCTGGGGCCTTAGGAAGACCACTTGGCCCAGGCCATGGAGGAATGACCTTCAGTCCAGAAGATTCTTTCGTGTCTCAGCCCTTGCCTACTTGGAAGGCTCTGGGCGTTCTTACCGTAAGAGGCTGTGGGCACAGTTCGGACCCAGACAAGACGTAGGGGCCTGTGACATTCCATCACAAAACAGCCCGAAAACCAAGCGAACACGTGTGTCAGGTGTCAGCGTGACATAGTTCTGTCATTTTGCATTTTGCTCGGTTGACATTTCTCTCGGAATTAGCAGCAAAGCCACCCTGGCGATGTTTTCCCACGGGCCGGGGACCCGGTGGTGAATAGCTTTACGAGGTAGGGACTTTGACCAAGTGACTGAACCCCTCTGCCTCAGTTTCCCCACCTGTAAAATGGCGCTAATAACCATAGTACCTGCTCCCGGGGGTTGCTGTGAGTTAGTGCACGCGAAGTGTTTAGGATGGGCCCAGCATGCATGAGATCCCTGGGAACGACTCGTACTTTTTTTGTTTATTTATGAAGACATCAAGGGCAGTTGGCACTGGGGGTCCTGGGCCGCTGGGAACTGGCTCCTATGCCAGCGTCACCTGGAGTCACCTCCACAGCGGGGTGGCCTGACCCAGCTGCCAGGAAGGGGTGAAACCCTCCACCCGATGGGGCTTCGAGTGCCCAGCACTCACACTCGGTGGGAAGAAGATTGCTGCGAGTCCAGACTGTGTTCTGTTATTATCAGGATGTTTGGAAGCACAGTTTACGCAGGCAAAGCTCCAGAACAACTCCGTTTGGGAACACAGATATGCCAATCTTATCGAGGTGCGCCTGGACCCCTTGCTTAAACACTCGAGTCGCCATATCGTAGTGAGGTGCAAATGTTTGCTCACGATCTTAATCCTGCGCTACTCAATTTCTTTTTCTAGCGAAAGCAGGAGAGTGGGCTCTGAATTCTCTCCTAGCTCTTCTTGGGTTGTGTTCAAATTAAACCTGCCAAAGTGTGAGTGTCCCTTCAGACAAGTGTCACTGGGACTGGTGGCTGCCCCCCCTCCAAGCCCCCCAGGAGCTGGAAGCCCCAGGAACTCCCATTCCCAGACTGTCCAGAGGAGCACCGGAGGGAGGGGTTAGGGGGCTGATTCCTGCAGTCCGATTCAGCAGGCTTGGAAAGAGCCCTTCCCAGCTGTGCCAGACACAGGTGGTTCCCCTGCCCCCACCTCCCTGGAGAAACATGGGACTACCTATCCACCCCAGCTCCAGAGGAAATCAGTTAAACAGAGAATAAAAATTCTAACTTTCTTTCCAAGAGGCAGAGAGGTTAGTTCCCATCAGAAAGCACTCCAGAAGACTTCCGGCCAAGATGGAGGCGCAGGTAGACCCACTGTGCCTCCTCGCACAACCCGAAGAAGGGCAACAACAAATTTAAAAACAAAAAACAACCAGAACTGCCAGAAAATTGAACTGTAAGGAAGCCCGACAACCAAGGAGTCAAAGAAGAAACACTCACCCAGACCAGTAGGAGGGGCAGGGTAGCTGGGGTGGGGAGGATTCCTGGCGAGGCAGCAGCTGGAGGGGAGGCCCAGCATCATAGCACCTGGGTTGCCCCGCCCTGGTGAACACCTAAGGCTCTGTCCCTCATACGTAACAGGTGCTCAGAGACAAAAAAAAAAAAAAAGACCTAAATGAAAGAACAGATCAAAGCTCCAGAAAAAATACAACTGAGCAACGAAGAGATAGCCGACCTATCAGACCCACAGTTCATAACACTGGTAATCAGGATGCTCACAGAATTGGTTCAATATGGTTGCAAATTAGAGGAAAAGATGAAGGCTATGAAAAGTGAAATAAAGGAAAATGTACAGGGAACCAACAGTGACAGGAAGGAAAC